AAAAAAAAAAAAAGAAATGTATTTGTGCATATCCTATAAGATTAGGATAAATTCTTAGAAGTAGAATTATTTGGTCAGAAAATAAATGGTGTTTTGTGTTGTGTGTGTGTGTGTGTTAGATATTGCCAAATTGCTTTCCAAAAAGACCATCCCAAGTTCTGTTTCCACCAGAACTTTTACTCACACCTTCACTAATATTGGATATTTTTCTTTTGAGATCCACAATTTTTTCTGGATAATTTTATGTCTTCCACATGAACTTTAAAAATCAATTTCTAAAAAATAACTTTGGGAATATTTTGATTAACACATACTTTAAAAATCAATTTATGGCAAATTGATTTTACCTATGGGAGATAAGGTGTGTTTTTCCATCTTAATGCTGTCTTCTGTATATTTTGGTAGGAGTGTAAGCATATTAGTTAAACAGCCTATCTTTTTCATTTGTTACTATTTATGAAGCACTTACTATAGCATTCTATTGAAATGCCACTTTTATTTCATACTGTGTTGGCCTTTCTGTGGATTTCTGTGGCTCTGTGGTCCTGTACAAACTTGTTTTTTTTTTAAAGATTTTATTTATTTATTGAGAGAGAGAAAGCTCACACAAATGCACAAGCAGGGGAGAGGGGCAGAGGGGGAAAGGGAGAGAGAATCTCCAGCAGACTCCACGCTGAGCCCACAGCCCTATGTAGGGCTTGATGCCACAACCCTGAGATCATGACCAGAGCTGAAACCAAGAGTTGCACTCTTAACCGACTGAGCCACTCAGGCGCCCCCAAACTGTTTTCTTTTTTCCCCATTTTAATATTGTGAAAACTTATTTACCCCCTCTCTATCAATTTATTGATTTGTAATGTGGCAAAATATTTATTTTGCAGTTATTGCAAGAATTACAATAATAGTAAAAGCACTTGCTACTTATCTGGTCTGCTCTGAATGAAAACTGCTCTTCTTGGGCGCCTGGGTGGCTCAGTTGGTTAAGCGACTTCCTTCGGCTCGGGTCATGATCCTGGAGTCCCGGGATCGAGTCCTGCATTGGGCTCCCTGCTCAGCAGGGAGTCTGCTTCTCTCTCTGACCCTCCCCCGTCTTATGCTCTCTCTCTCTCTCTCTCTCATTCTCTCTCTCAAATAAATAAATAAAATCTTAAAAAAAAATTGCTCTTCTTGTCAACATCATCATCATTAATATGTGAGAACCCAGAGGTTCAGGGTGGCTATTCTGAAAAATCACTAAATTTCATTTGGAATTTTATCTTATTTATAAGCCACCTTCAGATGTGAAGGGAAATTAGGATTTATTTATCACCTACAATGTGCTAGGCACTGTCCTAGGTGTTAGGGAGGTAGAATTAGCCATAGTCCTTGTTCTTCTGAAGTTTATGGCTGGTGAGGAAGAAAGACAAGTAAATCAGTGATTGAGATGGGGCGCCTAGGTGGCTCAGTTGGTTGAGCATCAGGCTCTTGATCTCAACTCAGGTCTTGATCTCAGGGTCTTGATTTAAGCCCCATGTTGAGCTCCATGCTGAGCATGGAACGTACTTAAAAAACAACAACAACAACAACAAAAAACCAGTCCGTGATTGAGAAACAGTGTGACAAAGTGCTAATTTAAAGGTAGTCACTAACTTATATGGGAGCATAGCAGAGGGGAATTTAAATTACTTTATTAATCATCAGAGCTACTGTGCATTTGTATCCCATTTTTACAAATAAGGAAACTGAAACCATTAGTTTAGTAACTAGGCCATACAGCTACTAAATGACAGAACTGGTATAACGATTAATGTGGGTCCATCTGACTCTACTACCTCTGCCCTTCCTTTACATTTTTTAAACAGCTCAAAAATGTCAACTTTTACCCAAAATAGGCTTTATAAATTTCTTCTTTCAGAAGTAGTTTTATAGGGGCGCCTAGGTGGCTCAGTTGGTTAAGCATCTGCCTTCAGCTTGGGTCATGATTCCAGGGTCCTGGGATCGAACCCCGCATTAAGCCCTGCATGGGGCTCATGCTCAGCAGGAAGTCTGCTGCTCCCTCTCCCTCTGCCCCTCCCCTAGCCCCTGTGTGTGTGCGCGCTCTCTCTCAACCAAATAAAATCTAAAAAAAAAAAAAGTTTTATAGAAAGGTCTAACAGGTAAGGAATACACCTTACTAAATTTCAGATTTTCATTCACTTCTTACCAGTTTGAGGCCTTTTCTTATTTCTAGGTTAGATTGCTAACTTGCTTAAATAGCATTGAAGGGGCTTTTGTCTTTTGAGGGATAAAGTGGCAGAATTCTGTTTCTTTGTTTTTATGTCAACCACTGAAAATGTTCACATTTGTTTAAATAGGGGAAGCTGAGCCCAGAGCTACATATACAGGTTATCTTATCAAAATGTATGGACATAAAGCAATCTGAAGGAAATTCAAGACCACAGAATTTACTGACTGAAGCACATTATACTGTTCATAACAAGAATAAGAGTATTTGGAGAAAGACCTTTTTATTCTGCGAAATCGTGATGGAAGCAGAGGAACACCAACAGCCACGGAAGACAGCCTTTTACTCAGAATTACCTAAAGTGGTGAGAATTCAACCACAGAATTCTGGAGTGGTTGCTTATTATAAGGATGCCTGTGTTTGTTTTTTCCACAAAGAAAAGTAAATTTTATAGGTAGAATTTGTAAATTTTATAAACTTTAAAAGTTATATAGCTACATCTAGTAGACAGTTTGCCTAGTGCAGATTACAAACATGCGGTACCTGGTAGGATGCTGTGAATCTGGTGGATACTTGAGAAGTTTTTACTGATGGTATTCTCTTGTTTTAGGAACTTCATGCCCACCTGAATGGATCCATTAGTTCTAATACCATGAAGAAATTGATAGCCAAGAAGCCAGGTCTTAAAATCCACCATCAGATGACTATGATTGACAAGGGAAAGAAAAGAACTTTAGAAGAGTGAGTTTGGGGAGGTTATGGACATACTTCTTTTTATCTCTATTACTGTTTCGAGATTATAAATAGTCTATAAGAATCCAGATTTTAGTAGTTAAAGGAATTGGGTAGCCATCTGGTATAGAGAGTATAACTTGACATATAGCATTTTTTTCCAGCTGTTTAGACCACTGACAGTATTTTTAGTGACTTATGTTGTTTGTAAAGTTACACTGTATTAGAATATTCTTTAGACGTGAAAATGTAGGCTTATTGATTTTTCTCCCTGTTTGCTGCTATCAACAGGGGGTAGGGGGTATGGTAAAGGGAAACTAGTATTTCCCACTTAAGAGTAACATTCTGTTTTCAGTCATTTATCCTTCCAGATCAGTGTAATTTTTGAAAAACGTATTCTGTAGTTCTTTGTAATATATAATTAGTATTAGCCTAAAATATATTCATTTGATTTAGTGGGTTTGTCTCGAGTGACAAGTTTTTGATGACTAGAGTATGTTAAAACTTTTCCTGTTGCAGATGTTTCCAGATGTTTCAAATTATTCATCAACTTACTACTAGCCCTGAAGATATTCTAATGGTGAGAAATGAAAAATTTTTAGAGTGGTTTAAAAATTATTAAGTAATTTATGCCCTTCTGGTATTGAACATGAATTTTTGCTTTCATCAAGAGTCAAATGAAAAATATTTTCTGCTTTTTTATGGCAACTCTTTTCAAAACCAATGTAAGACATTTGCCAAGGGCTAATATCAAAGACTACATTCGGGGCGCCTGGGTGGCTCAGATGGTTAAGCGTCTGCCTTCAGCTCAGGTCATGATCCCTGGGTCCTGGGATCGAGCCCCACATCGGGCTCCTGGCTCATCGGGGAGCCTGCTTCTCCCTCTCTGTCTGCCTCTGCTCATGCTCTCTCTTTCTTTCTGTATCTCTGTGTCTCAAATGAATAAATAAAATTAAAAAAAAAAAAGACTACATTCATTGTAAAAGATCTGAGAAGAGAAGCAAGATCAACATATTCTGTTACATAGAGGATAAAATCTTGTCCTGTTTTCCATATATAACATATTATATGAAATATTTCACCATAGATAAGCATTTCTTTGATAAGGCTTTATCTGTATTGCTTGAGATACTTTTAACTGCCTGGGTGGACAGTATAGAGAATGAAGTTCAAGAAGTACTTAGAGATTGAATGATTAATCCCTAGTCCTTCCCTCTGGGAATGAAGGACTAGAGGACATCACTGTGTTCTCTTATCTGTAGCTCTGTGATACTAGACTCTGATATGGAAGACTGGCTTCTGTATCATTGACTAGGGTGGCATTTTAAAATGTACTCTTTGTAAATGGAGAAAAACAGAATCCTTATCAATGTTCTTAACGATTAGAAAAAAATGCAGAGTAAGAGGTATAACCTGTGTTTCTGGAAAAATAACTTCTGACTGGTCAAGAAAGAATTTTCCTTCTTGGCTGAAACTGATCCTCATGAAAATTAATCACCTTTTGGTGAGAGAGTTAACTTTAAAAGTCTAGTTCAACAAAAGTTGCCCAAGTGCCCACAATGTTCTAGCACTCTGCTAAAGACTGGGAAATAAGATAGATGGACATGGTCTCTGCCCCCTGAGGAATTTATAGTTAGGTTAGAGAGACAGACCCATAAGCAGATAAATCCAACATATGGAGGTTCCTCAAAAAGTTGAAAATAGAGCTATCGTACGACCCAGCAATTGCACTACTGGGTATTTACCCCAAAGATACAAATGTAGTGATCCGAAGAGGTACATGCACTGCAATGTCCACAATAGCCAAACTATGGAAAGAGACAAGATGTCCATCAACAGATGAATGGATAAAGAAGA